GGTCACCATTGACCGACATCGTCCCATGTGACAGACTGCCTGTCGGTCAGCATTGACCGACATCGTCGCCAACGTGTTAAAATGTAAGATTGGTTATGCAAAATCTTTCAAGGTGTCCCTTGTGGAACAGCCAATGATGAAACATCGCATACCGCTAGTACAATGCTATCCAACTGTCAGACATTACGCTTCAAACGACTCAAGTATACTGTTGCCAAAAAGAGTGCAATTCGTGGCCCCATGGCTAGTCTTGCCATCAAACTCGGAAATATTGCATTCTATAGGTGCCATAAGTAACTCTCAAAGATCCTGTTTCTCTAACCAAACTCTAACCAACCAAAATTGTTTCTGGTTAGCCAAGCGTGTAAGTTTCCCTCCTCTATTATTATTTACTGTAAAAAGACCAAATATGTCAACTGAGGGGAACAGTTTATGCAATAGAATGCCAAGGATGTGGGCATAAGTATGTTGGAGAAACAAGAAGACCTCTCCACAAACGACTCGATGAACATCGGAGGGCTCTACAAAATCCGGCCTCATATCCAAGGTATTCATATTCAAAGCAAATTCCAAACATAGAACCCAAGAAACATGCCCACGGGGATCCACCCACCCTCAACGCCAAGTCCTACACCGTTCCATGAAAACACAGTGGAACGCAAAATACTGGAGGCTCTGGAAATAAAAAGACTAGCCCCGGAAATAAATAGCAGAGACGAGTTACGTGACTCTCTTCAACTCATCGCATGACTGCAGTTATCATCACTGTGGAATGAATGCGATATTTTGGGAAATAACGGTCGTAGCACGTCAACGCTATTTAAGGGTAAGGGTAGGGAATAGTTCCTGCTTCACAGACCAACAAGGGTGGTAAGTGTTACACTTTTGAGAGTGGACAGCAGGTGAGTCAGTTAATATAGTTTGATATTTAACAGAGTCAAGGCCTCTACTTCCTCCTTCAATTTCAGTGACAAAAGCGCTAAGCGCAGAATACTTGCCAAAAAGACCTAAACTTTGTTAAGCTTTTGCGCTCACACATTTTTGCAATTTCTTTTGTAAAAGTTTTGAGTCTTTTGCAATAAATAATTGAAGTCTCACATTGTTTATTACACATTTAGATCAACATGAGACTTCGGGAAGAGCAATTTTAAAGTACTAATTTATGAATGATGACCTAATAAGCTCTTGAAGCGGAGATGTGCGACGGAAAATGAGAACGAGAATGTGATGCTCGTAAGACGACGATCAAACTGATTGCGGGCCAGTATGGGGGGAGCGAGACGCCAGCTATCTTGGAATCTTACGAGTACATGACATTCGACTAGACTTGCACGATGCGCGGATTTTTTACCACTGGCGTCATTATTCAAGGTCGTGTTGGATGTCGCGACAGACATTGTCTCCTGTGCTGCAGAGGGCCTAATTAGCTGCTCACAATGCGACATCCTGGGCCTCCTCTCTCACCCCTGCTTACAAGAAAGGGGTGTTCACGTCACCACGATCACTTTTTTTAAGAGTTACACTCCTACGTGCATCTCAAAACGCTGCTCTCAAATCTGCTGTCCAACCTACTAAACGATTTTCCGAACGCGAAAGAACGCAGCGGTAGTAGTCCAGATTCTAATGCAAGAGATCATGGGATTGAATCTTTCGGGAGTTCACTTCTTCGGCTTCATTGTGAAGAATTCTGAAAAAAGGTTTCCAGCATCCGTTTTTTTTATTTTTCATTTCTATGGCTGTATAAATATTAGGTACCGGATATCTTAGTGTCGTTTTTTCACCGCGAGTTTCGGACCACCAATATTTTAATTCAAAATCCAGTGAGTGAAACGGCATATCCATCGAATGACTCATTAGCCCTTTCCCATTTACCAGTATGAGTGAAAACCTCGTACGATTAAAAGTTAGGAATTTTTTGAGACGAAAAAGAGAGGTAGGTCGAATTTGACATCATCTGACAAATCATCCCTCTACCTTGCTAAACAGTTGGGCCTGGACAAAATATGTATACATTTAGTTAGAGTAGGGTCTGCACTGTTTGGTGGAAAATTTATTACTTACCAGCTCAACTGGACAATTTTTTCCCGGAGTCTTTTTTGGCCACATAGGGTCAAAAACGCACCCTTTTTGAGCACATCTTGACAATGCTCGCACCCCCGCGCAAACAATGTACAAAGATCTGGACTTCGGATCCAACAAATCGACGAAGTTATTAGCGCACATTTATTAGAATTTCTTGGTCAATCAACTTCGTTAGAGCGTCTGTGCACCATCGATCAGTAACTGCTAGGGTGTCCTACCATTCCAGCACAAGACTGGTGCAGCCCCGTTTTGACTGATTTAGCTAGGACCACCTTTTTGGCGACGGTTGCGGGCATCCCTTCAAAGACTTTACTGTCTTTTAAGAAAACTGTGAAAAACCGATGAGCATTTTAAATGGTAGTATTCCCTCCATCAAATGCAATGCTGGTTTGGTGGGCGGAGGTTACAGCTCTCAGCAAGAATTTTGATGCATTTGGTACACACATGCGAATTTGCACACTGGACCCAGGAATTTTCAGAAGAAAGTATAAAAATTGGGGGAAAGTTAAATTGTGAACCAACAATAGAAGACGGTAAGCAACATATTTCGCAATATTAATGAGCAAAAACTGCCTTCTGGGATATTGATTTTCCATAGTAATCGGCCCCAAAACTTCCTGAACTCAGAAAAGCGACACTAAGATATCCGGTACCTAATACAATGAGTCCACGATATTTGGGCATACCTTTTGTCAATGGTTGCTCATAGTCATGCGCAAACATGCGCAAATAAAGCCCAGGGATTTGTCGTAAACCGTATGGGTGACTATTAAACAAGCGAATGGGTGACTATAAACAAGCAAAGGAGTAAATCTGCAAAGGAACCGACCCCTCACACCATCATTGGCAAGGGATCGCTCTGTTACCGCTGCGTTCTTCGGCTCCATAAACTTTATACAGAGGATAGTTCAGCAAATTTGGAAAACAGTTTTGAAATAAGTATACAAGGGAGCGTATGGGAACATACACCTCATCTTCATCCCCGATAGCTCATGGCACGCTTCCCTGTAGGCCACACTCTCACCTTTGCGGTCCTCCGTATAACCGCCTTGGCAAGCGAACGTAGGCAATGTGCATCTCTCAGCCTTTCCGTATTATTACTCACTTTTTCTTGATCGGATCCTTTTCGCAACCTCCCGCCCCCCCCCTTTTATTTCCCTTGAGCAGTTCGAAAGACAAAACGCAACGTGCTTTAGGTTCTGCTTCAACACTTTCAGCTTCACACTTTCAAATATATTTTCTTGAATAGCTCTATGTATTCTACATTACCTATATTGTCAACATTCCAGGCTTCTAAACCACACGGAAAAGTACCTACTTCTAGACTTCATGTTCGGCCAAAATCCTAGCTACTTCGATGACTACATTGACGACGTTCGCTACATCCTAAGTTTCTCGCCCAGCATTCGTGTGAAAGGAGATCACCTGATTGACTCTCTGAAAATGTACTTCAGCGGATTTCTCCTTCACGTGATGCCTCTTCACAACAACATGCTGAATATGTAACACTGATTCTTTCCGATTTTAGCGAGCGCAATAGCTGGATGTGCATACATGTTCGGAGGACAGATTTCATTGAGAGGAATATTTCTACAGACGTAAGTCAGACGGTTCGAGCAGCAAACAGCATCGCTAAGAAACTAGTCAGCCATTCCCATTCATTTCAAAAATAATTCCTCCTCATTGGCATTTTACTATTTCCAGGGAATTTCGCATTTTATGATTTTTGGAGACGATCAGAAATTCATGCACAATCTTACGCAAGTTATCATAAAAGAAGGAAAATGGAAGGGGAACGTAGGTTGCTAATGAAATATTGCCATGTAATTCTAAATAATTAGACAACAAGTCATACTGTTAAAGAACTTCAGAACAAGACTACTAATCAAGAACGTGGAGCGAGATTTTCTGAAAAAAAAACGGCACCACCGTGCGCAGCAGCGTAACGACTCATTCTCGCTGCGCCTGGTAATTCTTACTCAGGTACACTTGCAGGAGAAACCTCTGAGTTACGGGCCGCATCAGTGTCAACAGCAGGGTGAAAATCGTGTCGAGGACGTGGTCGCAGAAGTACGACCCCCCTGAAATCGAGGTCTTGGCACGACCCCCTAAACAGAGCATACGCAAAATCACAACAGCCGAGTGTATCGGTCAACGGCCGATTTACTCGCAGCTGCGGCGCGATCAGGGTGAATAACGGTCGAGGATTTCCTCGACCATAGCTCTCTACCATGCGAGAGTAGTGCCGAGAGTGAACATCCGCGCGGAGAGCACAGACGGCACGGCATGGCGAGTGTGAATGTCCGCGCGAGAGATCGTGTCTGATCGGGCAGAGAATCCTCGACGTGCCGTTGAGGAATCCTCAAGCGATATTCACCCTGGGCGCGATTAGTCCCTGGGTCAGATTTGCTGAAATCCGGAAAAACGTCGAAATCTACACCCTCGATGAAAAGGTTCCATTCCTCCATTTCCCAACCTTTTGAACAGCACGCGGTAGGGTTAGATAGAGCTAGATTTGCTACTATCAGGCAGTATTGGAATTGCTATGAAAGCCTTCCATTCGAAGAGATATAGTCTCTCAAAATCCGTCGAGGGAACGTCGAGGATGCTGAAATTTGCATCCCTAATAAGAGTGACGTTCTCAGCGAGGTATTAACCCATAACAAACGGCGTGCGCCACATGGTGGCGCACGATTATTTCTTTTGTTTTTTACGTTTCTAACAATCTTAATATACCCGTATATACTCTCAGCAATGTGGAATAACATATCTTCCCAGGACCTGGACGAGCTGGATTTTTGACAAACCTACAATAAATTTTACATACATTTTGTCTTAATTTTCATAAGTTTACTATTTGATGGGATGGCTTACCATGGTTCACACGTCCCGAGACCCTTCCCCTAAATATAGCCACATCCTTGCTCGGGGTTGTTGTTCCGCATTTTTCCATGATTTCACCTGCAGCTTCCATTCATTCTTTGCACCCTAGTTTTGAAGCGGAAAAGGGCGGGTTACGAAGTCGTCGTCAACGGAAATCTCTTCTTTGGATGATGAGACAAGGACACCTACCTTGGCCCCGCTTAACCCTGCTGTTCGCATAAGCCTACATAAACGTCTACACTGTGTGGCGTTGCGTGCGCCACATGGTGACGCACGCAACAAATACACTGGCCGTCCGTTATTTAAGGGAGGAGCGGGCGGTAGATAGAGGAAGTGCCTTTGCAGCGTGTGCACAAGTAGCCCCGTTCCTTGCGTAGATGCGCTTCCATTCTTTGTACTGCTTTCAACTGCCTCCTACTCATACAAGTAAAGGATTGGAACGTCTGGAAACTGTAACGAATATTTTATGTTGTGTTTTTCCACATGTTCTTTATTTCTGCTGCGCCACACCACAGGCGCCTCTACTCCTATCTGCACCACGATATCACTGGTGTTACTAACCCCCACGATTACAAACCCCCATGACCCAGCCTAGATTTTTTTATTTATTTATATAACTATTGTACAGGGATTAAAGAATAATTGGCTACAGAATGGTTACAATTACAATAGAGAATAATAGAAAAGAGCACAGATTATGTAGAATAAATAGATTATAGGGATATATGACACATCATGACAACTATGAGATGAAGGGGGGGGGGGAATTGGGGGAGGAGGTCCGTGGTTGGCTAGGAGGAGGAAGGGCAGTGCCCGGCCATACACTGCAAGCCCCTGGGCGGGACAGGGCTCTCCGGAATACCATCTTAGTAGGTCCGCCAACCTCCCCTTAGGAACCCAAGGCCACCTCTGCGGTAGTGGAGGTAGTAGGCAGAACAGTTACAGACTGAGGAAATTAAAGGGGGAGGGGTAGGGAAAATTTAAATGAAGAGCGTGACTTTCTAATGATATAGTGGTGGCCTAATATAATATATAGGAATAACAATTACGACTCCCCTTTGAGGATTCCCTCGCTCCATCACCTTGTCAAATCAGGCACATATGCTACCCCACTTGTCTGTGATTACTATCACGCACACGGCTACTGTGTGCTGATGAGAACCAGCCAGTCGTAGACCAGTGGGCGTGCCGGCAGCATATGCTACGAATTTGCGCGCCCGTAACCAGAGTCAACCCTGCGTTGCGCAGTTCTCAACGGCCACGTTGCGCAGTTTCGCCCGATTAGACACGTTCTCTCGCGCGAACATTCACACTCGCATGCTCGAGCCGTCTGTGTCTCCCCGCCCATACAGCGTGCGTTGAGGAACGTGCCGTTGAGAACTGCGCAACACAGCGGTCGTTTCTCCCCGTAACTCGGAGATTTTTCCTGCAAGTCAATCTGAGTATGAAGCGCGTGCGACCCCTACTCAGGGTGAAAATCGTGTCGGGACCCGTGGTCGCAGACCGTACCACCCCCCTCAACTCGAGGTTCAGCCACGAGCCCCTTAAAACAGATCAGACGCAATTAATTTAATCCAATAATCAAAAAAATCTGCAAATAATGTTGTAAATAAACACATGTCCCTTGTCATCCATGCAATTTTTTTTGATCGCTGCACACTTGTGTGTATTTGCTGAGATATAGGCCCGAGGAAAGAGGCATCAGCTTTGTAAGATTTCAAAGGCAGGCTCCTCAGAAATGCACGGAAATCCCCAAGGCAATGGTTGTGATTGCATCTTAATTCCAGCTTGAGTACATCACAACAGCCGAGTGTATCGCTCAACGGCCGATTCAACGGCAGCTGCGGCGCGATTGTCACTGGGTCAGATTTGCTGAAATCCCGAAAAAAAAAACCGTCGAAATCTACACCCTCGATGAAAAGGTTCCATTCCTCCATTTCCAACCTTTTAAACAACGCGCGGTTGGGTTAGATAGAGCTAGATTTGCTTCTTTCAAGCAGCATCGGAATTGTTATGAAAACTTCCCATTCGAAGAGGTACAGTCTCTCGAAATTCCGTCGAGGAAACGTCGAGGATGCCGGAGTTTTCATGCGAGTTTTTGCCACTTAAAAGGCAATATCTCTGATTTCGCCAGGAACTTAAAAAAACAGGACGAAGACAGTTTTGGAAGAAGCCGGAAAGGTTTGCGCTTCTTAACAGTGCTCTTAGCTTCCTTCTACATTTTCAAGTTGACGAGATATTTGCGTCGAGGGTCTATCGAGGATTTTCTCGGCTGCTCAAAAATCCGCTCCCTTCTTCACCTCTTCACCATTGCAGGTGCGATTCGTTGCAACGCGCGGAATGGTCTAGCATACCTACCTTCAGCGCGATAAGCCATAAGAAAAGGGGCAATCGTCATCATTTGATTTTGTCTGGGTAGAGGCCATGCACTCGAACGTTGCAGAATCGATTGGAATGTGTTATATGATCATGACCAGTTGACAAAGCTGCACTGTAGTAAACACATTTCGCAGATCCTATAACTTAAGGAACAGCTTTATTCGTTCAAGGCCTTCTGAAACTATTGTCGTTTTTGCTACAGCGTCCCAGCGCTATCACAACGAGCCTTCTGTTCTGGTTCCTACTACACCCTTCTTACCCTATCTACAGCACACGATGTGAACTGCATGTTAATGACGCCCAATACAATAGACCCCTGTCGAGAATTTCCTCGACCGATATTCACCCTGCCCCTACTTATAACATCGAGTCGCTGCATGCTCGCAAGCAGGGTCAACCCTACGTTGTTACGAGTAACAACGGGGGGGGGTCGTACTCAGTTGAGCTTGGAGGGGGGGTCGTACCCTCTCGGTGGCCGACAGTGGGATTCTTGGTAATATCGGATAATAGCCAGCACGTTACGTTTTCGTAAGATGACTGATACAGCATCTATAAACCACGCTTCCCTCTAAATGAGCTTTCAAATGAATCAGCGAATTAGAAGGGCGCCCGAGGCGTGGCGCGCACCAAGGCAAGGGATGTAGTGCAAGCGCATGCTCGGAGCTTTCTAGCACATCTAAATAAACATAAAATTGGTCTTCCAAGAAGAAGAAACCTAAGAAAACCGGCGAGCGAGACATAGGGCTCGACGGGCTGCCCCTAGCGGGCCCTGCCCCGAGGCCTCGACCACCCCCATCGCGTTTTCGAGAAAATGGCTTGAAGAATACCCCTCAAAATAAAAAGTAACAACGGGGAATTTTTGAACTGCTGATCTTTCAGGAACGCTTGGGTGCTCGTTAGAAAGCTTGAAACCTGTAGTTTATTATACCGTGTTCAGCTTCCCAAATGAATGACTTTGAAGGAAGTTATGATCGTTTGAAGGTAAAAAAGTCGCGGTTCCAAAAAAATAGTAACGCAAACCCCCAAAAAAGTAACAACGGGACTAATTTTTGAACTACTGATCTTTCAGGAACGCTTGGGTGCTCCTTAGAAAGCTTGAATCCTGTAGTTTATTATACGTGTTCAGCTTCCCAAATGAATGACTTTGAAGGAAGTTATGATCGTTTGAAGGTCAAAAAGTCGCCTTTGCACAGAAAAAAGTAACAACGTACAAAATTTTTACTAAATTGACTTCCGAAGAATTTTTACCCATGGTTGGATAGAGAATAATTTGAATTTTCCAAATCAATCACTCACGTTTCGGCGCTAAAGCTCGAAG